TGAGGTTACTTACCAGTAACTTTGGGTTTTCGTACATGCACACTCAAAGAATTAATAAGGCTAGAAGAAAATTTCCAGAAGCTCCTGGGCAGCGGTTGGCCATTGGGTGCCTTTGTCCTTCACCTCATTATCAGAGGGTGGCGGCCAAAACTACGGAGTCCTAGCTTCCTCTCAGCTCTTTCCACTAATTCAAAACCCCAAAAAGAAAGCCAGAAGCAGCAATAAAAAAGGATGGGATTTGTGCACAACTGGGGCTCACCTCAGAGAACTGTAGTTGTACCCAAGTTATTTCTTGTGGGCTGGGAAGGATGAGTTAGAACTACCAAAGCACCCAACCGTTCTGGGTCATATTCAAGAGAGAAAAGAGCTAAAGGGGGCAAGTGGATTTTTCATTTGCCCCAAACATGTTTTAACGAGAAATAAATAATAGTTGTTTTGTCTTCTGCACAGTCACTGAAAGCAACGAGGAGCCTTTCTTTAAAGTTGCCTTGGACTGGGCTGAGATCTCTGACACACGCCAGACTTCAACCACACACAGCGTCAGGATAATTACAAACAGTAATGTGCTTTGCAGGAATCACATTTGCACCATGACAGAAGCCTCTGGTATCAGATAGATTTTTTCCAAAGGTTCGGAGAACTAGTTTCTGACACCCCACAAAGAGTGGCCCAACTTTCTGATCAGATAAAATATGACATCTTCTTCCCTGAACATAAGCACAGTTGGGTTTCGCAACTGGCTCCCACGCTATAGAACAGTGCTAATGCCAGAAGGGTGATCCCACTAGTAGTCATGCTCTTGGCAATTTAAGTCCTGGCTGAAAATTACGTTTCGCTTCAATTCATGCAGGGTTAATTTTCAGCTTGATCAGAGAACTTTATGATCGCCGGTGTCAACACAAAGAAAAAAGGTTGTATCCTGCAGACAGGTCAGGGAGAGAGAAGAAAATTGCCCTTTTCCCTAACAGTTAAATCAAAGATTAGCTTACAGCAATCATGAAACTACGGGCTGAGGCACAATACAGACAAAATTATGGTCTGAAAGTCCACATCCCTCTAGACACACAGCATGGAGGTGCCAGCAGAATCATCGTCAGGGTGCAATCTGGAGGACATAGTCAGGTTTATCCTAAAAATCTGGAAGGGTCTGAGAATGGCCTCATAGCAGAAAAATGGGGCAATACAGAATCTGTCCTAGGCCTCTATAAACTTCAGAAAAATAATGTACAAAGTGAATAGCCATAGATTCTTCTGCCATATTTTCAGTATATCACATTCCCTGTAGAAGTAACCACCCCAAGCACTCACAGAGCTATACAGAGCAATCCTCTTATCTATAAGATCATTCCTAGGAGAACAGAAATGCAGATCTGTGCATTAGAGGCTGAACAGAGATGACAACCATATGTCACTTGGCAGAAGTCAGGGGTTTGTTTGTTGCTTTTTCAGTATCCCAAATGCAATGAATTATAAAATAGATCCTAAATTAATAGTCAAGGAGGACTTTATCAGGGCCTCACACTTAGGAGATGCTCATTTGGGAGAATCTCTTTCAACTCGTAGACTGTTTGACTTGATCAAAGGTTCTTGCTTTTCAATAGACTTCTGTATAATACTCAGACTCGAGAGCTTCATGAAACAAGAGCCAGGCTGCCTCCCAGAGAAAATTCGAATCCCAGTGAGATGTCTGTCTCATCTAGAAGGCAAGAGGTCCAACTGTTTAGAAAGCAGCAACTTCTGAATATTAATACACTCACACAATAATAAATGATAGGATTGCCAGATTGTACTCTTTAGCAACTTGGTACCATCTAGACTATTCGAAACATCTTTAAGTGCAACAGAATGTACATATTTGATGTTTAATGACATTAGAACAATTAGATGAGCCCATTATCTCTGCTAGGGTAGGAGGGTTTAAATGGCATTAACCCAACTTGGGGAAAAAATTGCAAGACAGTGTCACAGAAAAAGCTTTTATACTTTTGAGTAAGTGCTACACTCAAGTCCAGCACTCGCTGGATATACGAGCCACCCTATTCATCCAAAGAGTGTGCTGAATTTCATGAATAAGAAATCTCCCTAATTTATCTGCTTAGTAAAAAACCTCTCTTTGACAGACTGAGTCCCGCATTCCCGTAAGGCTGGCTAAATAAGACTTACTGTGCGCACACAGCTGAAGCTCAGGAGAGGAGAAAAATATCACAGGTCAGAGCGATAACTCTCACTTTCAGTATCTTTACATAAAACCACATTTCCCACAGCAAGCTAAAAGCAAGGAGTAGATCCAAATCAAGGCAAAGAAACAATTCCACCTTTGAGATCTTCTACTGCTAACTGCTCAAACCTGAAAGGGTATCTAAGCACACTATCCCTATCCTGCAAAACAAAGAAACTTGAAAATGGGACCTTGTGGTTTGGTTTAGGTTTTCCACAAATCAAGAAAGGTGGTAGAGACGTGATGAGCTTTGCAAAGTTCTTCAGCAGAGATTGGCATTAAGCAACCATTAAAATACATAGATAAAGCAACCCGCCCAAGGCTGGTTATGCAAAGTCTCCAGAGAAGTCTGAGATCTTCTCCGTGGATAAAGTAACGCTCTCACTTTTGGGAAATTATTACAGAAGAACCATTTGGAAATTCTACTGAGGCAAGCTTAGATAAAGACTTAGGTATGTTTACACCGAGTGCTGCAGTGCCACATAGATGCCTGAGACAGTTGTGAATGACTTGGGTATCCAGACAGCTCAGTGTCATACGGAGATATTAGCTCACATCCCAGAAGGAATACAGCCACATTAGTGTGGCTCTGTGCCCGGGCTAATTAGGTGATGTTTCCCCAGTTGCCAGAAATCAAAGAGTGACATCTGCCAGCATCCAACCTTCTTCTGAATGCACAGACTGGAACTATTTTGAACCTCAGTTCTGTGAGAATGCAAGGTGAATATAAAGACACAACGTCACCGTTTTACTTTCTTTTAAAGCCAGAAGGGATCATAAATGGATCTGACCTGTTATCATAACTACTACCCTGCATCCACATACCACTGTGTCCAGCGTATGAACTTCACTCGACCTAAAGCACTGAAGTCCTTTAGAGACCAACCTATTGTGCGTGTGTCACAGGCAGAGCACAACCATATGCTGTCAGAGCTGCGGCTGCAGACGTGGCAGATGACTGACTAGGTGGTAGTTGCCCAGATTATTTCAGCATAAATCCATTCCTCATCCAGCTCTGGAAGGTGAAGAATCCTGTAGTCCTGCTCATTAGTTCCCAGCTCTGGCAATCAGGATGAATCCCAACATGTGAGCAAGACAAATGAACCAGTTACCCATGAAAGAGGATTCTCTGCTTTATCAACACAACCAGCCCAATGCAAAAATGTCTGGCCTCTGGTGATGGCCAGTCTCTGACAATTCAAAGAAAAAAAGAATAAAAGAGACCCGAAGACAACCACTGGAAGGATAGGGAGAAAACCTCCCTCCTAAGCCCTATGAGCAAACCACAAAGCACAATTTGAAGATGGTCACTGTCTCATTGCAGAACTGCAAGTGTTTCACGGATGGTGCAGACAAATTACTCTGAACACAACTATAAAGGAAGAGTAGAAAAGGGAGGCTCATAAATCAACAGTATAGGCCACCACACTTGACACACAGACATAGAATTTCTTCTCATGACTTGAATCAAGCACCTCTTTTAAAATGATAAATTATCTCATCTTAAACACTCAAAAAGATGGTGATGGAAAAAGACTCCAACGTTTAATTATGCTGAGAGCTGTGAAACTATTTTAATCCAAGGTGGAACTTTTCAAACTTTGGCTTCCAGCTACTGGAACTTGTGGTTGGGTTGTCAACCTCACTAAGAGGTATCTGCTCCTGTAGAGATGACTAGATCTCTAGTTATGTCTCTTCAACCACCTGAACGTGTTTATTCACAGCACCAGGCCAGTTTTCTAGGCTCTATATCCTTTCTCTGTCCCTCTGTCCAATCCCCAGCAGTATCTCTGTATAATTCTGGGTATGTCAACACAGAAGCTGCATTAAATGTTGTGAGATTTTACTGACTCCACACACAGAAAATGGTTTTCGTGCTCCTGACTAAGGTTTCCCTTTTCATACAGGCAGAAGTTGGAATAGACATTTTTGTCTGGGCTTATTGTAAGACACTTATCCCCAGTAGCCCCTCGATCCTTCTCAGAGTTACTGTTTCCCAGGATGGTATCACGTTTTGAAGGTATCATCTGTTTTTTTTGTTTTTTTTCTTCCCAGATGTAGTAACAAGTGGCATAATTATGATAGCTGTTAAAATATTGAAATGAGTTACTGTGTGTAGTATTTCTGGGAAATGGTAGAAAGGATGATGTTTATCAAAACTATATAAACATGTAAAATGTTTTCTCAACACAGTTTCCCATTTATGTTTGCACAGATGTGTGTAATGTCATCACGAAGCCTCTTCCAAGAAAGATAAATTAAATCAAAAGGTTTGAATAAGGCAAATAGCTAGAATGCTCTGATGGTGCCTCTACACACCATCTCTTACCTCTTTTTGTTCCCTTTTTCCAATCACAAAAGACATTCAGTGCCACTGAAAAATTTACAAAGAACAAACAAAATTTTTTTATGAAGGATAAAGGTCCTCGGCACAAATAAAATGACCAGCTCTGAAGCTGTGAAGAAATGTGCTTTAATAAACAAAAGATAGCATTACAGAAGAAATTGTCATAATCGAAGTTGAAAAAAAAAATTTCTATTGTCTATGGTGCCTCTCTGTGGGAATTTTCCCAGCACAGACAGCTGTAAAGGAGGAGGGGTATTGTGAGTTTCTGTACTCTCATTCTCTCTCTTCCTCTCTTTCTCTGTCAATAAATGTCTGCAATCATATTCTTGAGCTCCAGTGTGATTTCAAGGTTCATCTCTTCCATGCAGCTCAAACACTAATTATCCCAGCTGTAATTAGTAAGATAATTAAATACTGGCTCACTCATCACTCTACCTTGTGTCGGGTCATGATTCTCCCAGAAGACCTTGAGCAGTTTCTCAAAGCTGATGTTTTCTGGCTGATATACTACTCGTACAGCCTCTGTGTGGCCAGTTTTACCTTAAAACACAAAATAAAATCAGATGTCATTAGTGAGAATTAGATAATGCAGTCTTAGTTTTTTATACTGAGATCCAAAGCACAATATTTCGTTTTTTTTTGTTTGTTTGTTTGTTTGGTTTTTTTTAACTAAAGGCGTTTTAATTCACCATAATTTATACCTAAACCTTTTTATACAATATTTTATATACATGCCAACTTTAAGATGTCTGCTAGTTTGGATGAGCCCATCATGAAATAAACTAGCCGGAGAGATAAGACAGAGATGGTAACTGCAGTAGTCTGTCAGCTTTCAGGAGAAAAAACAGAATAGTTCTTAAATATCTGTAATCAACACCAGTAAAATATTTTTAAATAGTCCAAATACAACATTAAAATATGAAAACTTATCTCAGTTGTCTTAACAGTATAAAACTGGGCTTCATTTCCACGAGGTAAGATATGGATAAAATAATTGATTATAAAAACAAATTTCAAGGGCATGTTCACACTAGATCACACGAATAATTTCAAACTATTTCACTTCATCCAAACCACCGGTGTCAACGGGCTTCAAAAAGAGTCAGAGAGCGCCCGACTGACTTTATGACAGCAGACGAAGCTCAAGGAAGATTAGCAGGTGTTACAGCGCATTAAAACATATCATTCTTATTTTTCAGTTACAATTTGGGCACCTTTTTTTTCATTCCTTATGTGTCTAATCATTCACAATATTATTGAAAAGTTCAGCTTCACAAAATGCGAAGGCTCTGGCCACATAATTCACTCCAATTGTAATTAATAGTTAGATTAATAGATGAGTGCTCAGACATCTCAGGTTGACAGTCCATTGCACTGAGTCCTACACAAGCATTTTATATTTTATAAATATTATATATATTTTAAAGTATATAAATTTAGGCATATTTGTTGTCATAATGTATGCATGAATGAGGAAAAAAAAAGTTATCCTATTCTTCAGTTAAATCATAATAAGTAAATCCTACGAAAAGTAAACTGGACAGCCAAATCTGCCTTTTGGTGGGGACGTAATAAGCTCTTTGGTCATGCTAGGCCAGGTTTTTCTCTCTTCTATACCAGAATAAACCATATTTGCTCAACTAACTTCAACCAGATTTTCTCATTTCATGCAGTTGCAGCAAACAACTGAATCTGGCCCAGTGATGGGTTCTGAATTAGCTGTCACCAAACAAGAAAAATCAGAGTTTATGAGTCACTGGGAAGTTTTCAGCTGAAACACCAATTCAGTACCAAGAGAAATTTGAATTTTAAAAAAAAATGTAGAAAGAAATACAAAGGATGCTAGGATAGATTAAAGAGACATGACAGGGAAAAGTATGACAGCATTATATCTGTTAATGGGGCACCTGAAATGAAGAAAACCTAAATGAGGCACAGAGGGGAGAGCTAGCTATTAAAAGGGATTTAAAAGACTGGGATTAAATTTAGTCTAGAATGCAGAGAAGTGAAAGGGGACACATCTGGGATATCTGTAATGAAAATTTTGATAAAATCCAATCGGTTCTTATCTAATGCGCTTCACAATACAACAAAGATTCGCTCACTGAGATTAAAAGACAAAAATATACGAGGTTGCTGTAACCTGCAGCTAAAGCCACGTCATCCCGTCCACCAGGGCACTGTCCAGGCAAAGGAAAGCCCAATTCCTCTCTCACATGCACGAGGCTTATTGAAGCCCATGGAAGCAACTCATTATCTGAAGTTAGATTCTGATGGTAGGTTAGCAGAAAGGGGTCGTACATTTGGTAGAATAAAAACACAAGTCAGAGATAATTGGCTTAATAATAAAATGAAATGGTCTTTCTACATTATAGCATGAATTGATGGCCACCTTAGGTCAGGGATAGAATTTATTCCCGATTTCATGGTTTAAGATGGACTATCAATGGAAATAATGGGGTTTTAGCTCAGCTGAAGCCCAGGTCAGGATTTTATGTGGTTGTTTGAGAGAAAGGAGAGCAAATGGACAGTGGTTTGTCCAGCTCTCCCAAGCCAACATTATATAACTAAGAAGAGATTAAGGAGTGGCTTCTGACTTTTAATTTTATTTTTTTTTTTCCCCCCCTTTGGTAAGCCAATGTGGAGCTTATGAAAGGTTCTTATCACTCAGGAGCAAATTGCCTGTCTAAGATGACTAGCTTTAGATCACAAGAGAGTTTCTTAAAGAACTTCAAAACAAGAGGCATTACCTTTCCTCTCAATTGAAGCAGCAATTACATCTTGTCAACACTGTCTGCTCTGACTAATCCAGGAGTTCAAAGAATCAGCTTTCTTCTTTTCCTCCGAATAAGGAAATAATGGTGCTACTCTGAGAACTATAGCCTAACCTTGAGAAGTAAATCCTCAGATGTATGGCTAACAGACCGTTAGAACCTAGAGCATATTTAAAATCAATATACATCCTCAGAGGGAAAGCAAAGAGGTAATGCTGCTGGTCCTATCAGATTCACCTTTAATTTTCCTTAAAGCCTTTCTGCAATCTAGTGGATTTTCTTTCAGAATATGGTGTGGCTATTTCTACTAAAAACCAGTATTAGTCGTTTGTGGTGAGCACTCCTGCTTCCTAACAATTGTCATGGAAACTATAGCGATCAACAGGGTACACACGAGCAAATAAACAGATAAAAGGCTCCACATGGGACAAATTAACCGCAAAATTTCCTAGAAGCAGCACAGACAGAAAATGGCATCAGGTGACAGGCAAAGAAAAAAGACAATCTCTCCACAGGTGCAGTAAGCTCCACAAGAAGGACTCAGAAGATACTCAGAGGTTACCCCAAGTAGCACATGGACACAACCAGCCCGTTAGCGCCAAATACGACTCAGCTGTGGCCAAAGTGGCAAAAAGGGAAGTTAAATCGGGTTCTCCCTGTTGATCTTCTTATTTCCCTTATTGCATTAGGCTTAAGTTCGACCATGAAAACAAAATAACCATCTTTCAGCTTGGGTTTCACACATTCGGTAGAGTACAGTGCCAGAAGAACAGAGCAGGCATCAAACCAGTCAACCACTCCTCTGCATTGTACAAAAATCATTGAAATATTTCTAATCAAATCTTTTTTGGAAGATTTCTTAAAATGGAGAGGCAGTAATCAAAGAGAAACAATAAACCCGCTTGTTCTCTAAAGAGCTGCATGTCTTTTAACAAGAAATTTAACAGGCTAACACTGAACAGCTGAAACAATTTAAAATGATCAGTGATGGATGCTATTCTTTCAGTGATATTCAGCTTTTCACCTTAGTGCCTCCTTCAGAATTTCTCATGAAAGGTCCATTTATATTGTCAGAAAGTCACGGTGTCCTCAGTTCACCTACTGCTTTTAATTAGCTGATCTTTAATATTCCACAGTAAAAGCATGCTTCACTTTAAAGTTCCAAAAGTTTTAACAAGTATGAACATTTCTAGAAGCCTTCTTCCCCCCAAAAAAAAAAGCTCAACAACTGAACCATGGGGTTTTTTTAAATAATTTATTGAGTCACTAAATATAATTTCATTTGCTGTTAACTGTGCAAATAGAAATCCTTTATTTCTAGGTGCCATTATCGGATTTCCAGTTATGGTGCTCAGTTCTCCTTCAGCTTTAGAAGGAGCTTAGCCATTGAAGAACCTCGCTGCAGATGATAAGACTTTATTACACCGTGGCAGAGAGGGCGGTGTGCCAACAGCAGATTGTCTGTTTATCCTATATCCATTTCCCACTTAGAAAACAGAGCCACTCTCAGAGGATTAGCTACAGTGAGCTCTTTCAGTGGGGATTCAAACTCTGGCAAAAAATGTTCCTGTAAAGAGCAATAGAAAAAGATATCTAAGTGACACCTCAGTGCTCCTTTTCAATTTTTTTTCTGCCTAATAGTGTTTAGATTTTCACCTTCTTAATCATCTCCCAGGTGAGTGCCCAAGCCGACGGATTATAGAAGCGAACTCATTCTTTTTAACTTGCTGGATCCAGTAAGCATTTAATTATTTCTGGCAAAGTGGGACAACTTCAAAGGGCTGGCTTGAGAGCACCTCACCTGCGATACCCAGCCACCCAGCAGCGACGGTGCTGCTCCACGACATCTGGGCTTCAGCTCTAGCTAGTCCAGCCTTGGGTGAATTCAAGTGTAAAATTCAAGCGTCACCAAAACTATTCCATCCTGCCCCACTTCTTCAATAAAAAGGGACTTGCCTCTCCTTACCCACTGAAATAAAGGTCCTAAATCCAGCAAATGTTTCAATATGATGTAAAGAAATAGGTGGCAGAACTTCAGCTGGTGCACGTTTCAGAGCTTATTGATTTTGGAGCTAAAAAAATTTGTGCTAGCTAAAGCCTAGGCCCTAGTGAATGTGCAAGTATTCCATGAACAAGCAGTCGGTCCTTCGAGCATCTGTTTCTCCAAACGAGCCTGGGAATTTTTATTATGTTGTGGTTATCGCTAATAAAATTTCCAGCTCCTTCATAACATGGCACTGTGTTGAATAAACAAAGGGTTCAACACTAACACTGAGAACCCACACTTAGGGGAACTGCTGAAGTTTTAGTTTTTACCCCCAAAAGTAATGAGGATCAAAAGAATGGAAATAATCACGGATGGATAGATTTTTTTTCAGAATGTGACAACATTTTATTGGACATTGTGACAATTTTATTTGACTTCCTGCCTAAGACAGAGGAGGTCATTTCACTGACCGGGTCCATGTTTTGTACTTAGAGAAGGAACCGCTCTTGACTCAAAGAACCCAACGGGCAGAGAATCCTCCAGAAGTCAAGGTGACTTCATCAAGAGGCTAATACCTCTCACTTTTAAAACAAGCGTAGAAGAAAAACAAAGACAACACGCATTTTATTTATGACCTGAGTTTATTTAGTTAAAGAGCTTTCTGTATGCCAAAGACTAGTAGTAAGCCTTCCCTTATGTTTTTCTATCGGAATATTTCAACTGGATTGAACTTCATAATTTATGACACTGTTGGACACAGTTTTGGTTTTTTTACTTTTTGAGAACATGCTCGCTCAGACCTTCAGCATCTCTCTGACCATGATGACAAGCAGATACCCAGGGAAGGGTTGAAAAAAGCGTGTGTGATATATCTACAACAGTGTACGTGAAGAACCAACTGCCTTTATCTGACCTTGGCTCCCACTGGCTTCTGAGAGCTCCCTGTAGTTCTGCTTGGAGAGACAGTGAGCGGCCCATCCCTACACATTCACCTCCTGCAACTCATGATTTCTTGACCACTTTTCAGTTTTTCAGGGTGATTTTGCCACTGTTTGGAAGAGACTGTAAAATATAACATGTATACAACAGCACTAACATGTGGCTACTATTTTTTTTTTACCTTGTTCTTTATATTTCAAATAACTTTAATGATTTTGTTAGCATTGAACTAGGAGAATATGTTTGGTTTATTATCCACTGTGAATTTCTGCTTTACAAAATATAATACTTTACCTTCTCAGTGGGATCCATGCTTTTATACAGTTGTATTAAAATATGTCAATCTTATACAGCATGAAGCCAATTTATCACTATGGGCTGGCCAATCCTGCAGTTGCTAATCAAAATAAAATTTTCCATAATTCTAGAAATTTCTGCCTGGACCACAGGAAATCATGTCTCTTCTAGCGACTAGCAAAAGTGGTAATGCAGCAGTTACAATGTGGTGCATGCACCTAAAGAGAGACTTTTCTTCAATTTTATTCCTTTGTTTTAGTAGAGGATAGATCAATTAGACAGTAAATGAAAATTTTAAAAGATAAGAAAAGTTGCTGATAGAACAATGACCTGCTACAAAATGTATTTCTGGTGACTGTTTGAAGCAATTGGTTTCTTACCCTATCAAATCAAAATTAAAATAATAAAGCTGACAGTGAACAACAGGGTACAAAATGCTGTTATTGATAATTTTCTCCCAGAAATTTAGTCGTATTTCTCAGTAAAACTAGTTGAATGAATTTAAAATATTGTCAGTTTGAACAAAGAAATTTTTTTTCTAAAAATGTCCAAAACAAAACTACTAAATAAACTTATTTGCAAGTATTTAAGATTTATATGGTATAGCTATAAATGTTTTTTTTTCTTTTGTTTGCTAGAATCCTGTATTCTTCAGCAGCAAATTGGTTTTGATTATCAGACACTGAACAGAGTATCTGAAAGCAAAAACACTACTACGGACGCTTTTTCTAATCTTATTTTTCAAATAGCTGTAGGTTGAAGAATTTATAAAAGGAAAATAATCTCACAATTACTAGCCTATAGTACAAAAGGAGACAGAAAAACCTGTTCACTGTCCCTATAGGTTGTGTCTTCTATGGGCCGAAAGTCCACATGGCAAGTACTTCAGTAGGGATGACTTTAGACTCACTTTAGTCTGGTCTTGCCGACTAAATGCTGTTCACAGCTAGAGCGCATCCAGAGGGCTCCTAGAAAGTATATTCTGATTTGACTTTGTTCAAAAGGAATCTCAAAAAAACTATCCTAGCGATGTCTTGCAGATGTCGGTGGAAAGCTTCTTTACCATTTGTCTTGGGAGAAATGTCTGCATCCTAGGGAAATCGGTTTGGTTGTGACATGTGATCTGGGGATATCTGTGATGTGATGTTTGATGTGGTGTTGCTTTGCTAGCCAGGGTGCAGCAGAGATCACTGAACTGGATGAACCACATCACCTTAAGAATTAGTCTGACATTGCTCCTGGACAATACAACAGAATATCTCCTGTGGCATGCAACCGAAGAAAAGATATTGAAGATAGGCGTGTAATTAATGCCAGTCAACATGGTTGTATGGAATATACGTCCTGTCAGCCAAACTAGATTTCATTCTCTCATGAAATTACAAGTCTGGTCGTAATAAATGTAGGATGAAATAGCATGGACGTAACAGACTTAGACTTTATTAAAGCATTTGACTTATTACTTCATGACAGTCTGATTAAAAAATTAGCACTATACAATACCAATAGCGTGCATGTTAAATGGATTAAGAATTGTCTAAATGACAGTTCTAAAAAAAAAAAAACCATAAAACTGTCTAAAGGGAACAAGCACTGAACGGCAGCATTTTTATCTGTCCTCTGCAGGGACTGGTACGAAGCCTGTTGCTGTTAAAGTCTTTCATCGGTAATTTTAAAGAAATAAAAAGTCTCAACTTATAAAATCTGGGGATAATTCAGATGAGAAGCCTGATAGGATGGTCTTAGAAAGCCAATACTTGCTGCGCTGGGGCCATTCAATCAAAAAATGTACCAAACCCCAGTCATACATAAAATCTCTACTTAAGGCGAAAAGAGACACATGTAATACCTGCAAATGGGGAACTCCCTGAGGAAAGTGCAAGGGTGGCAGTAGACAAGCAAGGAAATATGGAATTTCATTGCAATATCACAATAAAATGGAATAGTGACTGAATTGGATTGCCTAAGGAAAAAAGAGGCTGGTGGGAACAGCACTGGTAAAATAATCCTGACGTTATGCAGATCCTCAAACATAGTTTTAGTGACAGCGACAAAAAGCATATGTTTAGCCTTTCAGAAAGAAAACCGAGAGGTTTTTAATTTAAGGATATAAGCATCTTCTCAGGAAGAGAATGACTAAGTGAAAAAAAAAGGGGTCTTTGAATAAGCAATGAAAAGGCATACCAAGACCTAGCGGTAGGAATAGAAACCAGGGAAATTCAAATGGAATTAGGAACATATTTTAACTATGGAACACAGTGCTCAATTACACCACTGGGCCATTTAGTGCTCCTAAAAACCTATGTCCTATAGACCAAGGGAAGTGGTCAATTCTTCATCTTCTGATGTTTCCAAATCAAATCATATTTCCTTCTGGAAGAGACACCTCAGACAAATACCAGTTAAAGGAAAAAGTTATAGGGCTGAATAAAATAGTAGCTGGATGAAACATAATGACCTGTGATAGGAAAGATGTCAAATTAAATAATGCAGTGAGCCCTTACCCAGCTATGAATATCTGAGTGAATTGCCCCTCTTTATCCTTTGTTCACTTAGCTTTAACAAAGTCTTTCTATCCCAAACACTGTTATCTGCACAAAGAGTTGGGACTTTTGAATTATCTTCTTTTCATCATGGTTGATGAGGTAGACTCTAACCTAACTACATTTTCTATATGATCTTTATATAGGTGAGTTAAAATCTTTTAGTGTCAGGAACAGAAAGACACCATATTGCCTCATTTAAAAGCCCAAATTTAACCCTAAACTCACTCACCAGATGGACGGGGCCTTTACATGCCAATAAATTATGTTTATTGACAAAATAGTTACACTGGGCACCAAGGAAATGCAACGCCAGGCTTGTACCATCTAGCCTGTGTGAATCTGAAAACTAGATTAGGTGAACATAGAGCAAAACAAGTGGTCGTGTGATTGAAAAATGATAGCTTTAGGTTAGGACACATTAATTACGAAGTTAATTAATAAAATGAAGTATTAAATACAGAAGTAATGGGAATCACAGAATCCTGGTCTCATAACTAGCAGCATTCTTATATTATTGACATATATATTGATCTTACATTGTTGTGTAGCCAAGAATCAGGGCATAGCTGGTTTATACTAATGTTTTCTGTAAAAACGGCGCGCTAAAATAACCATTGCTCTTATAGAAACTTCCAGGTTTGTCCTTGGAAACAAACCCATATTTTGTAGACTTTCAAATACTGAAAATGCACGATGTATCCCATGAAAAGCACTTTGGAGAGTGATAAGGAATGAAAGGAGGTCAGAATGTGGTCTTATGAACACACAATGGTGCAACGAAGATATTGCAAGGAAGACAGGTGATTTTGAAAAATGTCACTGAATTTGTCACTTTCCTGGCTGGGACTGAAACACTTAATAGCATAAATCAGTGCAAATCATTCTATTTTCTTGCCTAGACTAGGATCCAATTTTGGGGAGAGTACAACAAAATACAGAGTCCATCATTTTTTATTTCAAATACACTTATTTCCATCTCCTCAAAGAACGCACAAAACACCTACTACTTGTTCCAAAGCCTTCCGAACAGCACAGGAACAACATACAGGTTTGATTTAGCTGTATATTAACACCGTATCTTGCATTTATATGATGTTTATAAGAGGAGCTATTATCCACAATACATTTATTTTCCCCACTCATTTTACGTAGAATACAAGAATTTTCTTTGATTTCATCACCTGCTACTTTTGACATTTCTCAAAGTCCATGTGTGTGTTTCTCTACCCTGTGATAGATAATCATAACAGTAACAGGAAAAAAAAAAAAAAAACAAAAAAAAAAAAAAAAAAAAAGGGGAAAAAGACCTCTACATTTTTATAGAGTCTCCTTAGGAAAAAGTATGTTCAAAGTATGCGATGAACTTGCTATCAATAAAGTAACACATCCTGAATGCAAAGGTACTCCCTTGATGAAAATTATTCCTGTCACAGGAAAGATTTAGTGGTCCAGAATTTCAGATTCTGTTTTGGGGGATAATTCCATCTCAAACTGCTCAGCTTAGGTTTCTACTGGATACTTTGGATTGAGTGAAGTTAGTTCCTACAGAAGAAAAAAATGCTGTCATTCAGAAATTAAATTCTTGTATTTTGTCTTCAGTCCTACGCATTCACTTCCCCTCAAATTAACTCTTTATATCTGACATACTTGTGCCTATTAGGTTAGATAAGAAAAAAATCTATTAAGGAATGTAACAAGCCTACTGTAACACAGCTGTGACAAACTGAAATACCACGAAGAACTGTCTTTTATTCATATATATGCTTTTTTAATAAATGATAAACACACTGATTAGCATTAGGTATACAGACCATTCTTGAACAACATAAAAAAGGAGCGTGGAAATAAAAAAGAACTGAGGACAGATCGCACCAGCACAAGAGCTGGGGGTGTGTGACTTATTTAAATTCATTGCCCTTTGCTTCGGAGATAAGATTCGTACCAAACTGCAGCTCAAACTTTGCCCACTAATTAAAGCACTAGAGCGATTATCCCACCATGTGACATTCCATGTTATGAATTTAGTAGCTCAGAAAATTGTTTCATTGCAAAGTCCCTTTGAAAAATCAAATTAATGAAATTACGTCGACTTTTTTTTTTTTTTTTTTTTTTTTTTATCATAGCAGATAAACACAGTGAATAAAGATCTGCCCAGGAAATATATCCTGTTATCCATGGGCATGAAAAACTTTGAGGATAAAAGATTAATACCACGTCACAGTCGCACCATGCCTTTGTCCTAAAGACTTCAAAGTACTTTCTAAATTTGGCTTCCATTATCCCCATTTTGCAGAGCATAACCCAATACTACATTGTGTTCTTCATAATTAATTTTCCATATATACAACATCATTTCTCTAAATACTACAAGCCCTGGGCTGACGGCATTTCTTTTCTTTTAAAATTCAAATGCAAAACCTTACCTAATATAAATATTTAATGTGGGGCTAAGGGAAAAAAATATTATCATGCTTAGAGAGCAAAAAATTCAGTTATGACATGATGTGTGGAATACGTGTGGTGATGGACTTCAGGTAAGGATTTCAAAAGGTAATAATTTGGCTATACTACCTACCATTTCCAAACCAAAAAAGTCTTTTCTAACAAGCTCAATAACAAGGATGCTATCTTTAGCCGTATGAAATTAAGACACTAATTCAGTTGTGCCATGAAGACATGTAGTTTGAGCTGGCTTAGGACGAATTGTCTGGACTTTAGCTCCTGCTCCAGAAGGCTGCAGTGCCCATTTGTCACCCCCGTGTGGGACACACCCAGTGACAATTTGTCAGCCCTGCGTGGATGTCTCTCATACAGCATCTAAATGACTGTCCCTTTAAGCAACTAAACCACTCCATTAATCTCTACGTATTTTATTGTAAAATCCACAGACACGCTGCAGCCCTCTGGCTCAGTTTTGGTCGACAAAGATCTGCTGTGTCATCATGAGCAAGTATCCTAATGTTTCAGGACTTTGCGTGTGAGATACGTGAAGTTGTGTCCAGCTACAACCCATCGCCCTGGGTGAGGTGGCAGACTGTGATTGTCCCAGAAATGGAGTTGTGCAGAATGATTGAATCTGACTCAACTATGAAAATGCTACCTCAGTTACTGCTTTGGTGGACGTGAAGCTAGACAATGGTTTAGGACTTGTGTCAGGTCCTTCTCTTGCCAGAGACAACACAGAGTCATAACACAAACTGCTTCCCAAGTGAAGTACTCTAGGACAAGAGGACGGCAAAATGGGGGAAGATGGTTGAAACATTGACATTTTCCTTAAAGAGCAGTGAGTAAACCAAATGTTAATACAATCCCCAAAAAAAGCTCTGAGAGATAGAGAAACAAAGAACAAGTCTTCGAAGAGCAGGAACCTTCTGACTGCTGCATCTGCCAGGAATAGAGGCAGCTGATTGCAGAGAGCAAAGAATGACTCGAGAGCAATTTTCCAGAGCCTGCCCCAGTAGCACAGGCTGCTTGAGTGGGTGCAAGAACACAAAAACCCGCTAAATCACACAGTCACAAATGATTAGGAATCTGAGACCATTATTTCTAGATTGCATTTCAGTTTGCCTGAATATTTATGCTTCTATTTATGCTCCTAAAGAAAAATAAAATAAAATTAAATAAAATTAAAATAAAATAAAATAAAATAAAATAAAATAAAATAAAATAAAATAAAATAAAATAAAATAAAATAAAATCTTGTGTTTAAAAAAGTCAAAGTGTTCAGTAGCCTGAGTATTGCTGTCCCGTATGAGGCTTTACTCGTTGGCTTTGACTGTGACTTGCTCCTGAGAAGGCAAATGGAAGCCAAGAATTCCCTTTTCAGCTGGAAAGGAACAGATGTTTCAGGACAACCACAAGCAGGCTCAAGACTAAGGAGCTATATAGACTCAAGTATTCAGAAAAGAGTCTCGAGGGGAGATCCGTGCACAAAAACGGCTGTAATGTCCCGAACCGAAACAGTACTGGGGCTCTGTTCTGATACAGAAAAGCATAGATAGAAAAGTCAAGAATATATATATAAATACCATGCCTGGACTCAGTACTGAAATGTATAAAGGGAATATTTTTTTAAGGTAAATTTAGCAGAAAATATGATCTTTTTTTTTCTTAAAAATTTACAGCTTTTAGCTGCAAAGCCTCTGTACTACAGCTAAGCAATGCACAGAATTTCCTTAAATAAATGGGCATCATGGAAGGCAAAGAATAATAGAAATGTGAAGGATATGCCGTGCATTGAGAACAACTTTGAAAAGGGATAAATGGAGGTAAATATAATACCTAGGGACATCTGTAGCAAGCTCAATGTAAGGAGTTGGAAAATATTAAATAATTTGGAATATAAAAAAGAAGAAATGAGAGTAAGATATTCTAATATCTAGAGTTTTCCACTAGAATAACAAAAAAATGTCGTTTTATCCTTTTCTCTCGAGAGTGATTTCAGTAAGAGGTTACTACTCTGAGGAGATCTCTGAATACAAGGTTAGATTTCTGAAATATGACACTTCTCACTCATTGTGAATCTGGACACCAACACAGCACTGAGAAGAAAACTGTACGTATCTTAATACCTGAGAACTTTAGGCTAGAATTAAAAAAAAAAAAAAAAAAAAAAAAGGGGATAGATTTCTGTATTTGTACTAGGAAAGCTTCACTTTCATATCTAACTTTTATTAAACTAATCTGACAATCTGACAGTTCTATGATATACCTAAGTATGATTGGGATCATTATTTCCCTCATGATTTCTCAAAAACAAATATGGAAAAAGCAGAACAGGCAACGTGGTTTCACCGGAGACCTCTCACAGCCATCAGAGCAGAGAGCTTCGTGATGACAGACAGACATTCAGAGGGCTTTCGGCAAAAAGAGAACGAGCATGAAAATTCAGAATTAATTTATACTAGACAAACACATTTAAGGCCACCAAAACTAATACAAGCAATTCTAGAAAGTTCTAAAAACATCCAACCAACCTGTTTTCGGTGGAAGTCTGTCGCAGAAACGAACTGTGTTAAGTGGGTAAGAGCTTAAAAAGATAAAATTCTGTCCATTTATTTCTCTAGAACACAGCTAAGAGAATTTTGGGGAAAAGTGAGTAAGCAGACATTGTGTGTAGCATGATGACAGCCCAGTGACTGAGCACGGACACAAAACGGAGCAGCTTCCAAAAATTAAAGCAGACTATGACAGAAGAACTGCAGAGGAGTTCCTTAAGGATCAGGAAAAAAAATCTCCAAGTCAAAAGCATTAAAATTGTATTTAGTTTTTTAATTTACAGTGGCTTGGCAAAAAATAGACCTTCCCTTTAAGAGCTTTTGAAATCCTACTATTTCTTTTAAATATAAACTATAGCTATTGCATTTCTTAAAGTGATGCTCCTGAAAGACTATTGAGGGAGGGGGCTAAAAACGTGCCCAGTGTAAGTATTAAAAATTACCGTAAGGTTGGAGACAGGTAAATCAGAAACGTGCAGTCTCTGGTGGGTGGTACAAGTGTCTGCAAAGAGCAAGAAAGGGGAGTTCAAATCAGAAAAGGTGAAGAAGTCGGTTGCCTGGTTGATAAAAAAAAAAAAAAAATGATAATCAAACGAGTTTGAACGTGGGAGATTGAACTGGCAGCGACTGCCAGGAAACTGCAGAGAGGTCACAGAAAACAGCTGAGCTACTGCACAACTTATGGAAAATCGAGGAAATGCAGTCGCAGCCTAAACCACGCTCTTCCATTCCCTCCCTCCCGAAGGACCCTGGCTGATGAACAGGAACAACAGAGCTCTTGTACCTGGCCTGACCTTTGACATCACACAGCATTTTGACAAATGATGTCACGTGCCTACCGCCAGGTAATCAGGATATTTTGAAGACCAAACCAGCGGCTGCTCTGGCATTACCTCTCAGCTGGCTGAAGGCAGCTTTTCGTCCACCGTGAGGGAACCGTAAGCTGCTCTCCATGAACTGTAGATGGTGTTGAGGCACACTTTGTTTCATTTTCTTTAATCATGAAGATAAAACCAGTGACGCTAGCAGGGGGTTCCTTGCAATCACAGCTCCTCCTGGGGACCCTACTGAGTGTACAATAGAGCCATGGGTTGTCTTTCTGCTAGAAAAATAACATCTCCCTTTCCTGCCTTAGTTCATTGTTACAATACGTGGACATTACATCGCAAATTGTAGCTGCCATTTCACCGTGCAAGGTGCTGTATAAATACAGAATAAGAGACAGCTCTGCCACCCACTGAAACCACTGGAAGGAATTAACAGTTGCTTTGACTGCGAGTTTATTTTTCCCAGGTGCCCTCACTGAGGTTCCTGCCATGAGAAGAATCGACTTGGTTCTACAGGCAGCATCATCTGAGGCTACATGAACATTTCTAGAATATCTCCTTTCTGATTATGTTAAGTGGAAATCTTCATTCCTAGAATCTCACCCTGAGCATAAAACCCCACTTAGTGATGACAAGCATCTTCTTAAGGACACCGTGAAAAATATGCTACATGGTGTCAGAGGTTTCACAAAGACCATTAACCACTGGAAACAGATCAAACGCCAGCTAATATATTTCTACAGCTGCATGACCCATATTTGAGATCAGGTTTAAAAAATAAAGGCAAGTAGATCAATCATTAGCTTTTAATAAATCTTTACAGATATTTCACTCTTTTTTTTTTTTGTGGCGAACCTTTTAGACATTATTAATTCTCAACCCAATTTTAATGAATGGCTGTGCCAATGCTTAACCTCAAGAAGTCACATAAAATGAATTATTACCTACAATTAATTATGCTGTAATAGACCAATAAGAGCAACCTTTATTTCAGCCATTGATAAAATTAATTAAAACTGATTCCAGTAAACAGGGTACTGTTTATACTGCTACTTATACATAACAAAAAAATACTTCTCCGTTTTGGTTGCTAAAATGTAAATGTTATGCTTCACACTAGACCAGTGAAAGCATTTACCTCCTACTTAAACCTAATGAACATTCATTGTATTTGACTATCCATTATTTCGATTCAACCAGTCACAAATCAAGAGTTTTAAATTACAGGTCACTTGTATCCTTTCTAAAATTCCCATTTAAATGGGAGCATTTAAGAAAAGCAAAGAAAGAATTTTAATTCAAGTGAAACCAGTACACCTGGACTTTAATTCACCCAAAAAGAAATGCCCAAAAGTACTTAGAAGACAATAAGGGGGGGG